AAAATAGAACAAGCTCTATTGGATAGCTGAATGTCTTCTCTATATCTGTCCGAGGTAAGTTATTGTCATATTGATAAATAAGACCACCTGCCCGGTTTACAACATACACAGCATACACTGCCATTTGTATATAAATAGCCTCCCACAAATTTCATAAGTATATTTGATTTAACTCACATTATGCTTAATTATACAACACAATTTTAGTCGTGAATGAGTGTAAATTATTATCTAAGTTATTTTTATTAATAATTATATTTCATTACGTTCAGATGCAGATTTATTTAGTACAAATATTTATTCACGTGATTTCGATTTCGTAGAGGTTGCCAACAAGACCGGCCAATATGGCAGCGCCCAGTGATTGTTATGAGACTGTGGAGAACATGTCATTTCCAGAAGATGAACATGCTTTAGCTGCTGTCTTTAAGAATTCGTTTCCAGGTATTAATATAGATAATGTTGTTGTTGTTATTTATTAATCCTCCTGTTACACGAGGTCATGGTCACAGGCACTTGGAACGTCTCAATAAAAAAAATTAATGGTAAATAAACACGAAATCGGAAATGTACCAAACTCCCAAAGTCTTAATGTTTCTCTACTCTATTTCCCGCCAGAGATATCTCGTGAAATCCTGCAGGAAATGTTCTCTCCGTGAAAATGTAAAGAGGACGAGATGTTTGTTTATACACGAGTAATGGGGGCCGCATTGCATGCCGGGATGAGCTGCGCCGGCCTCGGAGCTCCGTTTCGAGGCCCGCCAAGCCAAGCATAATGCGCGCGGGCATGACGTCACACACACACGGCTTACAGTGATCGATCGAAAGTAAGCGCCGTTAGAATTTCGAATGATACGTCCTCTTTACATTTCCACGGAGAGAACATTTCCTGCAGGATTTCACGTGATATCTCTGGCGGGAGTAGCTAGGTAAGAAGAAAGGCCATCGTTATAATTCGAACAAGTGAACATTTATGTACACATAGATACCAAGATGGAAGCTGTTGGATGTGTATTTGTGCTGTGAAGGTGTGAAATGAAGCGAGCGTTGAGCAAATTTTTTCAATCGCGCTTCCTACCTGCTCTCTTATTCATGTTGTTTGTGCACGCAGCACAGGGCGGGGCGGGCGTGCGTGTACTTGTCTGTTGCAAGATGAGCATTTGACCGGCATTTACAGGTGATTATAGGCGAAATAGAGTAGAGAAACATTAAGACTCTGGTACATTTCGTGTTTATTTACCATTATTTTTTTTATTGATACGTACCAAGTGCCTGTGCTGGTAACTATCTGATATGGTTAGAGTTTAGGGTTAGGGAGTAGGCGTAGGCAACTCCCTAGACTCGTTAGTGGAGTAGGCGAGGTACGGTCCGGCATATTAGATACCGCCGGTAGTACCAGCTAGCACAGCATATAAATCACGTGATTTATATGCTCTGGTACCAGGGTACGTTCCGGTATACCGGACCGTACCCAGGGTACGTTCCGGCAGTACCCTGGGGGACATAGACCCTCTCAGTGTTACTGTTAGCTTCAAGTGTTTCCTCATGTCATAGTAAAAAATATTTTTGTTTTTGTTTTGTTAACAACGGAGTGTCTGTGGCTAGATTACTGGGAGGGACTCAGACAGGAATCTGGAGAGGGCCTGTTTGATGATGGCATCTATCTCTGGTGTTAGATTCTTGTTTTCCCCAGTAAGGGTGGCAATGTCAATTGTCCGATGGCTTGTGTCGGTGTTAGTCTTCACATAGCTCTATTGCTGCAGCTGCCAGCGGCAACTGTACGAGGGCTATGGTACTAGAGCTAGCTAGTCTTCACATACCCCAGATCGATCGTGTTGGTCATCTTCTCCCTGCTAACCCTGAGTCGTGAGCAATGGAAGATCTTGTGGTCCACGGTCTCATTGGCAAGTCCACAGTCGCAGAGGGGACTATCGCTTGCCTTATCTTGAACAATGTGGTCTTTCTTGTTACATGTGTACATCTAGATAAAAGAATATACCGTACAAAGGTTATTATGTTTTTATTGGTAAATTATGACTTATTCAATGTTGAATAGTACTATGCGAATAGAATGAAAATAGTGGCGAGTTACTTACCTAGTAGTAGTACTTGTATAATATATTGTGCATTATTGATTCTATATCGCAGGGAATAATTTCCCGGATCGCATCGCAATTCCGCGATGTATTTTCAGCCATTTGCTACGCATATTTTTTTATGAATCGCAGTTGTGCGATGCAGCCCATGCGAGATGTAAACGGAAACATACATGTTTACAATTTACTTTTATTCTCGGGCTGCTTTGCCCGTCAATGAAATCCCACGTTACGCCGATTTTAATTGACTTGTTAAACACAAGGCCAACATGACTTTTAAACAATCTGCACACTCCCCCCCCCCCGTACATCCATCAATATGCCGCCCCAGGCACGTATACACAGCCACGCTGTGCTGGCGCTACACGCTCTCGCGGGCTGCTTTCTTCGGGGACCTTTGATAATATAAGTGAGGATGTCGTGGTCGAGGAGTCGGATAGCTGCCCTTCACAATCGCTAGAACTGTATTTCATCAATGTTTGGATATATAAACGTAAGGAACCAACATTTGATTAAAGTTTTAGATAATTATTTTTACTCGCCAACATGGGCGAGTCAGCTTTAGCTTTCACTCGCCCGGCCCGATATTATTTTCACTCGACATTGGCGAGCGGCGTGTTCAAGCTCGCACGCTGTTTAAACGCTGCCGGCAGCGTACAGAAACGCTAGTGTGTCCTAGGCTTAAGCTAGCTGTGCCTGCTCAACAGGCCTGACAGCGATAACACGCCAAGCACATACACTGCGCGTGGTAAAATTTGCCACTGTGATTGTCTGTAAAAAAAAATGCTCATACAAATTTATCCAAATTGCTTTCAAAATTATTTTGTATAGCCACAATTGTCCTATCAAATTTTTGGCTGGAATTGTTCCCTTGTATCGCGGTCAGTAGACTTGTATTTCTTTCCTATATTATTTTTTCACAGAATCATGGCAACGAGAATCCAGACTTCACTATTGTATCTGGCAAGCAACTCAGTTCTTATGTGACGTGAGAAAATTAGGTATGTTGTTAACGAACGTTCTGTTACGTTGTTCACAGGCACTATGGAGCGTTTTCAATAAATATTGGCGCGACGCTAGCTGCTGCATACTTGACACATAAATATATAGCAGGTAGGGGAAAGCGTGCTTGCCAGATTTGCTCGATGCTCTGCTTGATTTCTCACGATACAACACAAATAAATTCAACCATTCTACTCCATACCTCATGTTTCTACTTTGAAGCGACGCTGTTTTTAGGTTGTTATAACACCATACTGTCCCTGATGTATCGTAACCGAGCTGCCTTGTCACGCGAAATCACAAAAGCCTTGGCGAATATCTCGCGTTCGCCTGCGTCGTTGCGCAGTTATGATAAATGGCTGTAAGTTACAGGCTATAGTCGGCGCACTGCATTTTGGGAAACTACCACGCTGCCTTTCAAACTCCCGTACGAGCCTCGTCCAAGCCGCCATGCTGAGCGTTGCAATATGCCGCACAAGAATGAGTCACGAAGAGCGCCGGTGGTTGTTTTCTTGAATTCGACAGCCATTTACATAAACTGTGCAATGGGAGCGAACGCCGAAATTTCGTCAGGCTTTTGTGAGATTTCCGCGTGGACACAGCTCAGCGTACTGACTAACAGACAGTATGTTTTAATAGCAAGTTAGACTGTTTCTTTCAAATGAAACAAAGATGGAGCTAGAATGGTTGAATATTTGTGTTATTCGTGTGAATCAAGCGAGGTCGTAGCGAATTTTTTGGCAGCAACGCTTTCCTACCTGCGATATATTATGTGTCAGTGTAGCAGCAGCGAGCGTGCGGCAAGCCGCGTGTGTTTGCAGATGTCAATTTGACAGCATTACCATGAAATTGTTGGCAATAATAGCGTGAAGAGAGTAGAGGAAACATTAAGGAACTTTTGAAGTAAATAGATTTCGTATTTATTTAGCATTATATTTTATTGAAACGCTTCAAGTGCCTGTGTTACATGTGGAGTATAAATAACGCTGTTTGAAGTTGTAGGATGCATTATTCTATATCATAACTATGACTGTATAATATGTTCTTACGATGCTGTAACAACAGGCGACGAAAGACTTACATGCTCATGAATTATTCTACAGCGCGGGAACCTGACCGGCTTTCAGAGGAGAGAGCCGCGATATTGGAACAAACACAAGACCTCACTTTCACAACTACACAAGAACGTTCAAAACACAGCGCCGAATATGCTCCAAGACATCTACAATGCTGCGTAACGACTATTTTCTCGGGTCTGTGTACACGTCTCGGCATGGCATCACACGTGATTACAGGGTTGTCACATTTCAACCGAACTGGTGAAATCTTCAGAGTCAGTTGATCTTTTTTTTTAAATTAAACTTGTTTTGTGATTCAAAATTGTTTTTTAAAAACATTTTTCACGTTTTAATTGGTTAACAGTTCACCCTCGTGGAGCAACATTTAGAATCTGTTATGAAGAAGTTGCCAGTAATTTAAGAAAGTTCAGTACCTTCATGAAGACCAGCTCAAGGGATTAACAAAGGTAAAAACCATATGAAACTAGATGATTTAATTGAGTATTAGTTAAAGCATAGTCCGAATTTAATGAAATTAGTTATTAGTTAATACTCCTTAAGTAACAAAATTTACTGCGTTGTTCTTTGAAACAATGGGAAGTGTGAGGATTTTGACGTGTGTATCATTTCCTAACATAATTGTTTGTGATAGATTACATCTTTCCTCACACCTCTCTCTCTCCTCTGTCTCTCTTTACTCTCTCCTCTCTCTCATCTCTCTCTCTCTCTCTTCTCATCTGCTCTCTCTCTCTCTCTCTTTCTCTCTCTCTCTCTCTTCCTCTCTCTCTCTCTCTCTCTGCTCGCTCTTTCTCTATTTCCGCCCCTCTCTTCTCCTCCTACCTCTATCCCTCCGCCTTTCTCTTCCTCTCCTATTCTCCGCTCTCTCTCTCTATCCTCCTCCGCTCTTTTCCCTCTATCTCTCGTCTCTCTTTCCCTCACCTCCTCCTTTTTTCTTCTCCTCCTTCCTCTTCTTCTCTCCTTTCTTTTCTCTCTCCGTCTCTCTCCCTCTCATCTCTCTTTTCTTCTCTTTCCTCCTTCCTCTTGTCCTACTCTCTCCTTCCCGTTCTCTTTCGCTCCTTCTCCCCTCTCTCCTCTCGTCCTCTCTCTCTCTCATCTCTTCTCCTCATCTCGCTTCATGCTCTATATTCTTCTCTCTCTCCTCTCTCTCCTCCCTCTCTCCTCTGCTCCTCTCTCTCTCTCTCTTCTCCTTCTCTCGTTCTATTCTCGCTCTCGTCTCTCTTCTCTTTTCCCTCGCCCGCTCTTTCTTTTTTTCCTCTCTCTTCTCTCTTTCTCTCTCCTATTCGCTCATGCTCTATCTCTATCTCTCTCTCCATCGTTGACAGTCGGCGCATGAACTCGCTGACGTTGAGTCGGCACGCCGTCAAGCTGCTGGCAGAATACTAGAGATTGCCTCAGCTGATGACAACGTTGTGATGGAACGTGTTTTTACTACGAGGAGGCGCTAGCTCGCTTGCCTATACGTGAAGCGGCTAGAGAAGAGACACGCAGCCATCCCCGTCATCGTGGTGCGTGTACGACGATCCGCGATGACACGCGCGTGCGTGAGACGTACCGTGTGTGCGTGGTGTGTGTGTGATGTGTGTGTGTGATGTGTGTGATGTATGCGTGGTGTGTGTGTGTGGTGTATGCGTGGTGTATGCGTGGTGTGTGTGTGATGTGTGCACGGTGTATGCGTGGTGTGTGTGTGATGTGTGTGCACGGTGTATGCCATGGTGCTGTGCGTGTGATGTGTGCATGGGGTATGCGTGGTGTGTGTGTGATGTGTGCACAGTGTGTATGCGTGGTGTGTGTGTGATGTGTGCACGGTGTATGCGTGGTGTGTGTGATGTGTGCACGGTGTATGCATGGTGTGTGTGTGTGATGTATGCATGGTGTGACAGTGTGTGTGTGTAATGTGTGCACGGTGTATGCATGGTGTGTGTGTGATGTGTGCACGGTGGTAACTGCGTGTGTGTGTGTGATGTGTGCGTGTGTGTGGTGTGTGTGTGGTGGGATGTGCTGCACGGTGTAAATGCCGTGGGTGTGTGTGTGGTGTGTGCACGGTGTATGTGTGGTGTGTGTGTGATGTGTGCGTGGTGTGTGTGTGGTGTGTGGATGGTGTACTATGTATGGATTGGTTCCAAGGAATATGCATTATTTATGAACTGTTCGTGCAAGATTTACTATTTATATTGTTGTCCGTGCAAGCTATATCGTGCATGCACCATTGTATGCATGGTGTGCTGTTTATGAGGATATGTATGATATGTACATTATATAGGTTATATAAGTATATATATAGGTATCAAAACTATGTATATATGTTGTTCATGCTAATATGTGAAATTCTTTTGGGCAGAGCATAGTGGGTGAAGTGAAGGCTTCTATGAACTTGATGTTGAATCACTTGATCCAGCAGTTACGCACCAATGTCCAACTACCGGCTTGTCTCAAGGTTAGTATCAGGTTTTACCTCTCTAACATCACATCCCTTACAGCTACCGGCTGACCACCTAAACATAGGTGAGGTGTTGCTCCAGATCATAACTTGCTGTTTTACTGTCATTGGTTACATTTTGCTACTTAACGATTAAAATTTACTCGTAAGCACTTCATTATTATCTATGATTACAATTCATCATTGTTATGTCATCACAGTTTATCGCATGCTCGGTGCGGTTAGAATTTATTTGTCACTCTCCAATCTTTATTTTCATACTGAGGCGTGTAAATGTGTAGGTATAAAACCGTATGAATCTACTCGTGCGATTTATGCCCCTGTGATATTAAAACAACTGCCAGCCTTGTCTTCGCGGACGTCGTGGTGTTGTTCGTTGGTTCATTGACGTTGGTTCGTTGTTCGTTCGTCGTGTAGGTGATTGGATACCTGCGGCGCATGGACGCGTTCACGGCAGGCGGAGTTGTTCATTGACGTTCGTTCGTTGTTCGTTCGTCGTGTAGGTGATTGGATACCTGCGGCGCATGGACGCGTTCACGGAGGCGGAGTTGTTCATTGACGTTGGTTCGTTGTTCGTTCGTCGTGTAGGTTGTATTGGATACCTGCGGCGCATGGACGCGTTCACGGAGGCGGAGTTGTTCATTGACGTTCGTTCGTTGTTCGTTCGTCGTGTAGGTGATTGGATACCTGCGGCGCATGGACGAGTTTCACGCGAGGCGGAGTTGTTCATTGACGTTGGGTTCGTTGTTCGTTCGGTCGTGTAGGTGATCGGGTACCGGCGGCGCATGGACGCGTTCACGGAGGCCGGAGTTTGTCATTGACGTTGGTTCGTTGTTCGGGTTCGTTCGTGTAGCGTGATCGGGGTACCTGCGGCGCATGCGATGCGTTCACGAGGCGGAGTTGTTCATTGGACGTTGGGTCGTTGTTCGTTGTTCGTTCGTCGTGTTAGGTGATTGGATACCTGCGGCGCATGGACGCGACTTCACGGAGGCGAGTTTGTTCATTTGACGTTCGTTCGTTGATTCGTTTGTTGTGTAGGTGATTGGATACTGCGGCGCATGGATGCGTTCACGGAGGCGGAGTTGTTCATTGACGTTTGTTCGTTCTGTTCGTTCGTCTGTAGGTGATTGGATACCTGCGGCGCATGGACGCGTTTCACGGAGGCGGAGTTGTTCATTGACGTTGGTTCGTTGTTCGTTGTTCGTTGTCGGTGTAAGGTGATTGGATACCTGCGGCGCATGGACGCGTTCACGGAGGCAGAGTTTGTTCATTGACGTTTGGTTCGTTGTTCGTTCGTTGTGTAGGTGATTGGATACCTGCGGCGCATGGACGCGTTCACGGAGGCGGAGTTGCGGATCAAGTTCCTGCAGGCTCGCGACGCCTGGTTCCAGAGCGTGCTTTCCAGTATCCGCTCCGAAGATCGTACGTCCCCGCCGCTCAACGCTCGACCCGAGCGAGAATCGCGCTGACGGCCTGTAGTCAGAAACATCGTAGATAGTCATGACCATCATGCTGGATCCGAAATCACTTCGATCCACATTTGCACGGCAATTCGTGCAAAGATTTGTGCAATTCGTGACATTTTAGACTTGATGTATATTTGTGATGTTTCTGACAACAGTACCCAGGTTTATTTTAGAAACTAGATGTATTGTTAGCTAGATGTAGGCGCTCAGGCCAATCTTAATGCGTGTGCTGTCAGTTCGTTAAGGTCGTGTTCGTGTAGTTATTGTTAAATGTTTTTATACACAACGTACTTGTGTACACTTGGAAATTCTTAATGTGAATAATTGATTCTGAAGACAAAAATAATTTTATTCACTATATAGTATATATATATTTGTGCATTGCGAATATTTGCAGTAATTTATAATTGATTTATTCGAAGAATTATTGATGGAATTATTTGAAGAATAATTTGTCATTGGAATCGTTCGGTAATTACATGGAGCAAGTTTGTTTTGTCCGTAATATTATTGTCGGTAATTTTAATAAAAATGTCACGACGGCATCTGTCTGTATTTCCAGCTTACCATCACATCACGAAGACTATAGAGTTGAGTCGCGTTCACTTGTTTGACATCATCACGCAGTACCGCGCGATATTCAGCGATGAGGATCCGCTACTTTCCACCACCAGGGACTCCAGCCTGTCCGAGAGCGCGATATTCTACGGATGGGTTCACCAGAAGGTAGGGGGCGCTACGTCGAACCGTCCGATCTTACGCCGAGCCCGCGTGCAGTTGCAGAGTGACGGTCGTCGCAACAATTGAACGTGATGGAGTCGATGCTCCTGTATGTTGAACAGTTTCTGCTGTTGTGCATCAGATGTAGCCGTTGTTACTGTAATTACTAACCTTCCCACTGTTAACCATATATTGTAGCTACTGTTGTTACGGTCAATACGAAGCTTTATCTTCCCACTAAATAAATAATGTAGCTGTTCATCATCATGTATATACAGCAGTTATTCTCCCCACTGTTACACATGAAATAATACCGTTGTTACCGTAAAGGCAAGGCTGTTTCTTCGCTCCATCACACGTCGTATACGGTCGTTGTTCCTGCCGTAGGTTCAGCAGTTTCTACAGACGCTCGTGCGAGACCTGTCTCAGGGTGTCTCGTCACGTCTCGACTCCGTCATCGGTCAGTGCATGTACTTCGGTCTCTCGTTCTCGCGCGTCGGTGCCGATTTCCGTCCCTTGATGGCGCCACTGTTCCAGGAGGCGGCCTTGCGAGGGTTTCAGCAGGCTGCGGAGGATGCAGCGAGGAGGTGAGATAGATACACAACGCATGCTGCGATAGATTAACGATTATAATAATAATGATAAAAATTATAGATCAACGATGAATGAAGTGTAGATCGACTCAACTCTACTTTGTAATAGTTTATATATAATAATTAAATATAACTCGAGAAGGTGATATATCATCGATAAATCGTGATAGGTTGGGTTCGCATCGATAATCTGGTTATTCGATTATATTTGTTCGAAATAAATTGATCGTAAAATTTGACAGATTCGTGGCTTTCCAAATAACAGTAGCAATCGACAAGTGAAGGAAGTATGTCGTACGTTGCTGTGTGTTGGAAGTACATTTTACGCGGTCGGGCGCGTTACATGTTCGTGCTGTGTGGATGCTCTCCCGCGGTCGTTAGTTTAGCTCGAGTCAACCCTGTATGCTGACACGCGGCCGCACACGCACGCGTTTCTCATCGTTGCAGGTTTGACGAGGCGATGCAATCCTACACGCTCCTCAACACGTCCGCTGCGCTCGTCTCCAACATACTAGGCGGCGCCGGCGGCAGCGGCGGCGGGGGAGAGACGGCGCTGCAGCCGCCGTCCTCGTTGCTAGAGTGTCAGCCGATGGCGGTCTACTGCAACCAGGTGTTGACAGCGTTTAACGAGCTACGTCTGTGCGCACCTGTTTCCATCGCCGCCGACATCGCCACCGCTCTCCAGGGGTCGCTAGTGAAGGTCGCCGACTCCATCCTAGCCTATCACAGGTGAGAGCAGTAGTCTGAACGTCGATAACGAGGGATTGCAGATTGTTAAGTTTATAATGAGAATATACCTATATATTCATATATGATAATGAGCCTGTGTGTAATTTGAATCAATTACTATATATATGTCCAATTTATATTGAGGATTGTTATCTGCCGATGATTATATTATGTCATATATGTGATAATTATACACATCACGTCATGTCATAACATGTCTTATCATATAATGTAATATTGTATCATATCATATCATATCATATCATATCATCATGTCATGTTATATCATATCATATATCACATCATATAATCATGTCATGTTATATCATATCATCATGTCATGCCATATCAGGTGAAAT